ATATATATATATATATATTTATGGCATAATTATAAAAAAAATAAAATCCGATGTACTATCATCGGCGATGAAACGGAAGCCGCTACATCGATTATCTCTATCAGGAGTTGTGCGGCGTGACGTAGAATGCTGATCGTCACCGAACGCCCGCGCAAACGATTATAATACGTCGGATTAATACGCGGGATTTTCCCTTCGTGTTCTGTATGCTTAGAAGAGTACCAAATAGAAGCACGAACCGCGCGAACCGTTCCACTTACTCTGAGCCACTTGTGGTTGAGAACCTCCTGGATGGTGATCCTATGATTCACGTCGGTTGTAAGCATTCTCTGTATGAGATCTTTCGCCGGCTCACTAATGGGATCCCAGAGTGGTGTCTCCATCTGCAAATTCAATTAAAACGGAATTATTCGTCACATACGGAGAACTGCGCGACCCGGATGCGAATGGTTGCGCGGGCAAGCATTATTAAAATTCTCCAACCGCCTCGTTACATCCGGATTAGCGGTGTTAAAAACAAGATAAGATCATAAGGCATGGCGATTACCTGCACCCGCCCTCGACAGATCGCTTCCCGCAGCCTGTCTCGAGATCCGACGAACGGAAGTGTGCCAGTTAGCAAGACATGTAGCAGCACTCCGGCTGACCAGACATCACCGGGTTTCCCATACTGTCGCCGTTGGATCACTTCCGGCGCCATGAAGTGCGGACATCCGACACGACCTGCGCGATCAAGAGCGTCGTGAACGAAAGGGATGAAATAGTTTATATGACCAAAGAATGGAAGCATGAGTGATTGCTCGGAAACTTCACAGTCGATCGTTTATACATAAAACGGAACCGTATTTGCGACAAATGTAAGACCCGAATTTATCAGCCGAATAAAGGATCTGCGTTTGATTTTCCCTCGATTTTACGACTATATATAATAAACTATATATAATCGGTAGCTCTATCTCGCACACATCCATTCACATATATACACACATACATATTCTCCCTCTCCCCCCCCCCTCTCTCTCTCTCTCTCTCTCTCTCTCTCTCTCTCTCTCTCTCTCTCTCTCTCTACCAAATCGATTGTCCGTAGCGAGAGAATCCAAACCACTTTTATCGTTATCAGGAACGTCGGATCGACTGGACGTATCAAGTATAATTAATGGCAAAGAACGAACGTCAAATACAAAGGCTACTGCATTCCTCGAAAACAAATACACCTGTCACAAAGTAGCCGATTCTTCGATATAGGCACAAACATCGTTCACGGACGATAACCAACGTGCTAACTTGCTTACTTTCAACAATCTATATTTATTAAGAATCGGTAAATGACACAGAAAGCAGCACGAGAGGAAATGTAGGTCACTGCACATTGAAAAGTGTACATGGGAAAAGATGAGATGATTAAGGCTGTAAAGCAAAGACGACATAATTGCGTTCGCGAGTATATCGTTAAACATCAGAAAAATTAACATTAGAATATCGTGTAACCTTACATATTCAAAAAATCTAATATGACACATAATTATTAATAAAGATTAACGCATTTAAAGCATGGATTTCTTTTTAAAAAATATTTAAATATACAACTAGTATATAATAAATTTGTCAAATATTTTAATATTTTATTACACATATATTCTACTAGAGACTATGTATCCTATGTTTGCGATACATACTTCTATTTATAATTATACTATTCTATTATATACTATTCTATCTATAGAATGGACTCTTAGCTATTTCATCTAAATGTTTTATTTATGTAATGAAAAAAAGAGACATTGTGTTGATATTGTATAAGTATGTATTAATTTCTATATACCCGTTTACATAAATCCTAAATATATTATTACATTGGATAAAATAAATAAACATATCATAAATATCATAAGTAAAAATATATTCCCTTCATTATGTTTTCGCACGTATGAAATATTAAAAATGTTAAGTAAATTATAATAAGATATTTATCTTCATCATTTTGCGATAACGATAATATAATTGAGAGCGATTAATATAAAAGGAATGATTATACTTTTCCAAGAATAATATAGCATTAATAGCGCGCGCGCGTATATTGTAGAACATTTTAGAATAATTGATATCAAGATTAAACTTTGATAAAAAAAAAAATTTTTTAATCCATTTTCTGTAATACACAAAAGTAAAAGTAATTAAGTTAAATTAATAATTTTAATTATTGCTAGACATAGGTGTACAACTTTGCTTCCGCCGTTTTTTTTTCCGAAATTCAAGGCTTTATTGTAAAAAACTGGTTATATATTTATGATTCAAAGTATTGTCCATCGCTAGCCACATCTTTCGGGTAGCGTACGAATCCCGTGTCGAAAAAACTGGTCATCTTTTGAGGCTATTCACGAATCGATCCAATTTTTTATTTCTTCATAAGACCGGAAGTGCTGGTCAGCCAGGCCGTGTGCCATTGATCGAAACAAGTGATAGTCAGAGGGAGCAACGTCTGGAGAATATGGCGGGTGGGGTAGGACTTCCCATTTCAATGTTTCCAAGTATGTCTTGACCACTTTCGCAACATGGGTCGAGCATTGTCATGCTGCAAAATCACTTTATCGTGTCTCTCGTTGTATTGCGGCCGTTTGCCTTTCAATGCTCAGCTCAAACGCATCAATTGCGTTCGATACCGATCGCCCGTGATTGTTTCAGTCGGTTTTAACAGTTCATAATACACTACGCCGAGCTGGTCCCACCAAATACAGAGCATGACCTTGGAGCCGTGAATATTTGGTTTGGCCGTCGACGTGGAAGCATGGCCGGGAACTCCTCATTTTTCTGCGCTTGGGATTATCGTAATGAACCCATTTTTCGTCCCCAGTCACAATGCGATGCAGAAATCCCTTCCGTCTTTGCCTTTCAAGCAGCTGTTCACAAGCAAACAAACGCCGTTCAACATCTCTCGGCTTCAATTCGTACGGCACCCAATTTCCTTGCTTCTGAATCATTCCCATGGCTTTGAGGCGTTTTGAAATGGCTTGTTGAGTCACTCCCAATGATTGTGCCAATTCTTCTTGATTTTGATGCGAGTCTTGCTCAAGTAATTCTGCATCTTCGAAAACCTTCTCTCTTCCACCGCTATGCCAGTCTTCGACGTCAAAATCACCGTTCTTGAAGCGTTGAAACCACTCACGTTCTTTCACTAATAGCGACCTCACCATAAGTATTTGAGAGCATTCGATGAGCCTCAGCCGCAGATTTCTTCATATTGAAGTAAAAAATTAAAATCTCCCGCAAATGACGAGAATTTGGCTTGTAAACTGACATTTTCAATCGAGAATAACTTTATGATGCAGACACAAATCGACTAATGTTTCTATGGGGTTATGTTGACAGATGCCCAAGTTTATTGTATGATGTCTATGATCTATTTATTTCGACCACCACTTACCGCTAAAGCCATCTATAGGAAAACGGCGGAAGCAAAGTTGTATACCTAATATTTAATATTAAATTCTGTAAAACAAAAGTTATTTATTTATAACATAATATATTTGAGTAGAATACTTAAATAAAAAAATAAAAGGTGCTGGTGCAGAAGAAAACAGTTACTTATATACAAAAAGCAATAAGTAAATTTAGACTAAAATATAGAATCAGAAATTTCAGAAATAGAAACGTAAAATCGAATATAGAATCAGAAATATTTCAGAAATAAAAACGTAAAAATATGTAATATTTAACAGTGCCACAACTAGGTGCCAAAGAGTTGCATATACAGAGAAACAAATTTTCATGCAATGTCACATCAAGAGCATGCAGAATTTGATTTCAGAATGTAAATTTAATAATGAGAAACACGCGTGAGTGACGAATTTTTAAAAACTAATCTGCTAATAAAAATGTAACTGTCGAATAAAAATATTTTATTTCGGCTTGTTCATCGCTTGGTTGCTGCTTGTCATTGCATGATTTTAATTATTCGCCTTTTAACGAAAGTAATTAGTTACACAGTTACAGTTACGAACGAAGCGACAAGTTAATAACATGCATTTTACGCAAGTATAATTTAGAGATACAGGATAATACACGAGTGATCTGGGAAATTTCTGGCACAATTTCCAGCAGGAATATTTATTTCGAGAAAAATATGTTATATAAAAGCATACGTACAAAATGTTCAATAATGGAGTTGTCATAAAAACAATTCTAGATAATCATCTCTAAAATCTGTCTCCAAAATGTCTCTTGAAAGAATTTCATATATTCTCAAGGTTTTCCATTCTACTCGCGAGTTAATCACAATAAACGTGTATCTTATATTTTATCATATGTAAGATTTACAAGTATCAACTGAAAATCAAATATTTTTCATATTTAATATAATTGATATTTAAAAAATATCAATTATATTAAATATTCTTCCTAACAGAAAATCTCAAAATCAATATGTGAGATAAATGCGGTAGGAAATGTCTCTGATTTAATATATTTATGCTAATATATCTCTGAGGAATCATCTTCATTTAAAAAAACAAAATCATATTTTTCCGCAACTTTATGGTTAAAGTATCGCGTTTCGTAGGTATAGATAACATTGCACATATCAAATTATCGAGTTTCATTATTCATAACTTAAGTTCTTCATTAAGAAAATATGATATTTTAATAACAAATTGCTCGCCACAATGCAAAAAGCAATTGCATAAAATATCAATTTCAGATTGTATGCAGTTAGCGTGACCGTATGATTTATTGAGATAGGAAGTATTATTTTTAGTAAACAAAGATACAGTATTACAGTAAAAATTCTCAAAAAATTCCTGTATTTTAATTAGAATTCGTCATCTGAAACTGCTTTGGTTTTATTAGCAATCGATATATATGTTCAATCGAGGAAAATATTATGTTTGCATTTTATCGCGTTTGCCTTTCTCGTGATATAAATAAACGTTTCGCAGACATTCGTAACAAAATAGTATTCTCTGACGCGACTAGTTTCAATTTGTCATCGATAAGTGATGAAAGACAAACACAAAGCAGCATACAAATAGACAGACACACGCAGACACACAGACTAGTCTACCGCTACGAACAACGACATAAACAGGCCCAAATAACGCGGGTAATTGGTTCACGTAACCAAACTCAGAAATAGGTAAATCGATTGAAGGGTTTGTTACGTTTAACAAAAATATATCTAATTATTACAAGTACGAGAGAAAAAAAAAGAATAAGATTTCCGTCAAAAATGTGATAAAAACTTCAATTCGGAAAGGATAACTGTTCAACATTGTCAATATATATATATATATATCAATAATATACATAAAATTAATTCACCGTTGTGCAACTGCATTTACCGATTGTAATAATAATAAATATAACATATTGTATAAATTTTAGTGCTGGATAATCCACATAGAATTATGTAATTTATTTTAATGTAATTTATTTTAATATTGTTAGAATAAAATTAACCAATTTTTATATTTATTATTATCTTCTACAGAATATTTTTTTTCCTAAAATTTGTACTCTTCGAAATAGACACTTATTGATATAGACACATATTGATACATTATTATATACTATGAATATACGTTAATTATTACGTATATTCATACTATGAATATACGTAATAATTAACGTATATTCATAGTATATAATAATGTATATTCATAGTACATAATAATCTACGTTATTCACAATAAATAATAATTAACTATCAAAATATATATGATTGCGATATG